AACATTTGATTTTTAAGAATGATTCCACTTCCTCCCTGAAGCAATAAAAGGAGTTCCATGTAATCAGAGACTGTAATTTGTGAGCATGTCTTTTCCAATTCTGAAAACAAAAGACTTTTTTGCTCATTTGTTAGCTGTCGTATTACTGCACTTAGAGGTTTGTAACTTCCTCTATAACTATTATAAGCATAAATACTTCCTCCAATTCCACCAAAAAGTAAACCAATAGGTCCAAGTAATAAACTAAATATCATAGCAAAAATAGCAATAGTTAGACTCCCAAAAAAACTTCCTTGAATTGTCACTTTAAGTTCATCCACATCTGAAATATGAGACAAAACTCGAAGAACATCTTCTTTTGATATCGGCATTTTAAAAAATATTTTTATTTTTTTAATTTACTAATAAATAATATATAGTACATAATGAAAAGGTACTATGTAATTATAATAATACTTGTTGCATACACTACAATAGTACATATTACATACATGGTAGATATTGAAAATGTGCTAAAAGTATTTATTGTTGTTTTATATAATACATACTACATAATACATTTGTTTACACAACTCTCTATCACACACGAGAGAGAGAGTTTGTATTAATAGTTTATAATTCATTGTACTAAATATCATACACACTTCAAAACATTAAAATTGTTTAAAAAAAATAGTTTTAACAAAAGTATACATACTGCCAGTATTTATAATATTTACTTATAAAAATCAATCAATCATTTATTTCACTTTATAAAGTAAATACAAAGTTAGGAACAGTCACAAACAGTTATTAAACTGACAAAAATGTGACAACCTACAAATATTCATTTAAATTTGACAAAATGTATTCATATTACTAGTACATGAATAATATAAGGTAATATTATAATAATAGTAATAATAATAATATAATAATAATAATAATAATAATAAATAGGCACTTTAAAAAAAAGAAGCTGAAAATGATAAATAATAGGCTTTTAAATAGAACTTTTGATAAAAAAAATAACAAAAAAAAAACCTTAACAAAAACAAAAAAAAGGCACTTAGAAAAAAAAAAAAGCTAAAAAAAAAAATAACAGGCTTTTAGATAGAACAATAACAATACAGTATCAAGAACATCAGTGATGGATGTTATTTAGAAAAAAGGCAAAAACAACTTGAATTTTACAGGTACAAAGGATAAGGTCAAAACGACATGAAAAACAATGATTGAGATAAATAACACAGCAGAAGCTTTACTTATTATTTATCTTTGACTTTGTTGATGAAAATTCTTTGACTTTGTTGATGAAAATTCTTTGACTTTGTTGATGAAAAGAGCTCTACTTCTTTTTTTTTAGATATGTTGTCTTGATTTCAGAGGAAAGATAATTCCATGATTTAATGGATTTATATTTAATGGAATTAATGCCAAACTTAAGTGTTTGCTTCATAGGTATTACAGCATTACTACATGATGCTAATCTAAGTTTATGGCAATGACTTTTATTAACAAATTTATAATAACTATTGTCAATGGTTATTATAAATTTGTTAATACAATCTCTCAAAAATTATTAATCTAAAAGATCTAATATTCCTACTGAATTGCACACTTGTATGGGACAGTTAATAATAACTTACCAATAAGCTTCAATACTATTGAAGTTTATTGGTAAGTTATTATTAACTGTCCCATACAAGTGTGCAATTCAGTAGGAATACTAGATCTTTTAGATTAATAATTTTTGAAAGATTGTAGAGGATTTAAGAGTCAAATATATTAGATTGAAAATGAACTATTTTGAGTGATTTGTTTTGAAGCCTTTCTATGATCTTTGTTTAAAAAATATAATCGAATAAATCCTAAGCTTTTGGTAAATTCAAAACATGAATAAAATTATAGTAAACATATTGCCAGAAATAAGCATGTCAGCATACAAACTGGCTTTTGTTGACAACTTTGGACATTTCTATAAGTAAAGATTTATTACCATATTGGATATAATCAAAGACTAAGCCACTCGAAGCAATAGTAATAGCGATGTCAGGGTTATTTTATCCGAATTACTTATCCGAACTAATTATCCGAAACTAAACCGATATTAATTAAAAATGGCATCCGGGAGACTCATTTGCTTCGGTTTTGCAAGAAATTGCCGTCAATCGGTTATTAATTTAAACAATTTCCGTAAAATTAAATATTTGTAGTGCGCACAGCATCATAAATTCACATATTAAACAAATTTGATAATTTTTTGTTTTTCTTGTTAATTATAATGTTGTCGTTTGGTTATAAAAAATTCTACGGCATGGTTCGATTTATAAAGGCCCAAAAGAGAATTCATGAAAAATCTTTTTTTCAAAAAAAACCTATCACTTATCAATTTTTTTTTTGTTTTTATTTTTTTTTCTATTTATTTTTTAGGATTTGCGTTAAAACAAAAAAAAAAACATGCATTTTTCGAACAATTATAAGGAAAAGTAATTTTGGGGCAAGGGCTCACCTTGTGTCTACACGGGACCGCTTGATACTTATGAGAAATTTAAAATTAAGTTTAAAATGACTGCAATGGTACTAGCAAAAAAGCTATGAAGCGATTTTTACATAAAAAATTTTATTTCATTTTTTATGCCCTAAAACCTGTAAAATTGAATTTGTAATAAAAAAAAATTTTTTTTCCTCGTGGCTATCAGGGACCGTTTGGAATTTCTAAAGAAATTTGAATATGAAGCAATTTTTTAACTAAATTTTAAATTTTTTATTTTAAGGCCAAAAAACTGTAAAACATTATTAGTATTATTTTTAAAAAAAGTCTGTTGGTGGCGAAATTAAATGTCAATAAACATTTATTTAACTGGACTTGGAACGGACAATAATTGGGCATTTTTTGGACTGGATATTGGAATGTTGTTGGACAATGGACTGTTATTGCCGAAACTAAATTACAAAACTTTTACTATACCTTTTTTAATAATTTAAAAAAATATTGGTTTTGATAAGTTATTGGAAATAAGTTCAAAAACGAAAGTTAACAAACTTTAATTCAATTACTAAGAACTGGTTCAAAAAATTTAATTAAAATTATAAATGAAAGCACTAACTTCGATTTCAATTTACTAGATTAATGTTAAATTTAAACTTGTTTTCCTATGAGATTTTATTTCATCTTCACATTTAAAATATTTTTTAAAGATATATTTATAACTCATATCTGCTTTATAGTCAATTATGATCCTAAAAAAACGACTCCAAATTTTTTCGTTAACATCACTTTTTTTGTAATTTTCTTTTGACTCAAGCAGTCTTTGTTTCATTAACACTCCATTATTACTTTAATCATCGATTTTTCTGAAATAATTTTTCAGTTGAGCCCCATACATTTCTATTGGGTTGAGCTCACAATGAAACTTAGAGAAATGGATTATTTTTTGTCCATCTTATACTTTTTATTGTGTTCTTGAACTAACTTATCTAACTTTACGATCTTTTTATAAAAGCGAAATGAGACGATGCTTTTATTCTTAAGTCAGCAAGAAGAATGTCTGAGGTTTTCATGTGTAATTCATTAATTTTTAATTCTTTGCATAACAAAAACAAGCCTTTAGATCATCATCAGAATCAAAACAGTTAATTGTCTTTTCGACGCCTTCATCGAGCAATTTTAGTTGTTAATTATAATAATTGTTGATACGAATATCAATTCGAAAATTTACTGACTTCATTATTAAGCTATATCACCCGAGCGCACCGACCGTACTTTCATAATGATTAAGTATCACCCGAGCGCACCGACCGTACTTTCATAATGATTAAGTATCACCCGAGCGCACCGACCGTACTTTCATAATGATTAAGTATCACCCGAGCGCACCGACCGTACTTTCATAATGAGTCATAACTATTCGGGCATTTTGAACTTCAGGAACGTTCCAAGTGTATTCAGAAGTTACTGTCTTCAAAAACATCCAATAGTTTTTTATGTTGTCGGCAAAATAATTGACAAATGTTTTTCTATAAACTACAACGTCTTCTCTCTCATGCTCATTAACAAATGGACGAGCTTTGTTATTCGACCAAAAAAAAAACCCAACTAAATAATAAGTTTTGAATTGCTTTATAGCTTCCACTATATTATGATATTTTGCTTTTTTTTGGTTCAATTTTCATGGAATCATTCAATTTTGACCTTTCTAAAAATGCATCAACTTCTTTTTGAATATATCTGATATTGAATATATATATTTTTTTGAATATATGTATTTTTAAATATCAATGCTAAATGGACTATTTTTCTCAAAAACTTTATCAATAATAAAGGCGTAAATATGTTCTTTTAAATTTAAATTATCTTTAAAAATTGTGTGACGATGGTGTTTACCTCCATTGTCAGAAAATATCTTCTTCTCCGTTAATCAATTTAAAACAGTGTTTCAGTGCAGTCGGATAAGTTAATGTTACTAAACTCGATATGATTCTACTTATTTGGATTTGTTGGATTTTTGCAAGTGTAAGAGCAATTAAAATTGCAAGGCTTTTTTTAAAAAATTAAAAGTGACTCTCTTCTGAGACTCTTATACAACTTGTGGTCCGGGCAACATACAATTTATGCAAAAGTGTTCTTCAAAGCTGTTGTCTATAATTAGTCTAATAATATTTTTGAGGTTTTAAAAAACAAAAACTTACTTTCTTGTCTTTTCTATGGATTTTGATCTTCTCGTTCTACTGCTGATTTGTTAATGGCAACTAATAGGTTTTATTGTGCATTGGATAAATGTGGAAAGGTTAGGGCTATTGCTCTTGACATTTCATTACATTACAGCAGCCGTAGCGCAGTGTTAGCGCACTTGCCTCAGAAACGTAAGATCCGTGGTTCAAACCCCACCTCTGGGCAAGTTTTGCGACATCGGCTTGGAAGGAGGCGTGAACTTCCTATTAAATGCTATTCATTTTCCTTAAATAAAGAAGAAGATTCATAATCCTAATCCTACGAATCAGTTTGATGATCATAAGATTGAATCATACCGGGATAAACTACCAATTTTATTTGACGACTTTCAAAACAGGTTTAAAGATTTGTATGCTCTTAAATCATCATTGACATTTTTAGTAAATGAGTTTTTAATTGATATTATTAGTGATGGTTGTCCAATTCCAGGAAGCATACTTAAAGAAATATCTCTATTTGGAATGAAATTCTTAGATCTCCAAGAAGATCAAAATTTTCAAATGTTGCATAAAACACTAACTTTTTTGGATTTTTGGAAAATAGTTCCTAAGTTAAGTATCCTCAACTAAAAAGAATTAAAACTCATTTCAATTTTTGATTCAACATATACATTAGAATCTTTATTTTTGACTATGAAACTTGTTTAATCAAAGTATTGTGCTAATCTAACTAGTGAATTTTTGTTGCTTAGAATATCAACTACATGTT